TCGACAGCCAGAATATGCTAGAGGATCTCCGTCACGTGGAAGGGGACACGCGGTGCCCTGTGAATGGGCCAAGGAATAACGAACTCCGACATTCTCTGACGCGGCTGACGCGTTTTCTGACACCAGGGAAAGTGGAGACGCGCAACTGTACGGACGAGCAGAGGAGGAAGGGCGAGACTCGCCTAGTCGCGCGTGGCCAACAGGTAACCCGTCCCTATAAATAGGGACGAGGATCATCGTTTTAGTTAACTTCCAATTTTCCTAAGATTTTGATATACACCTTTATCTCTCAAGATCTGACTTGAGCGTTGGAGGCTCTTCACCGGAAAATACCTCCGGTGTGAGAGTTTTCGTGCAGGTTCAGCGTTCGACCGGTGGAGGAAGTCGTGTTTGTTGCGGTTCTCGGTCGGGCGAGCGTTAGACTTGTATTAATACTGCTGAAGAATTTGGCTTGGTTGGTAGAAACCTCTTCCGAAGGTTGGATCCGTATCAGAAAATGGTTCATTCAATATCCAAAATGGTAGCTACCAATTCGACTTCAATTGTACTGATTTGACTTCAATTGCACTAATTTGACTTCAATTATACGAAATTGACTTCAATTGTACGAAATTGACTTCAATTGTACGAAGTTGCTTTGCAGTTGGACAGTTACTTGCGCAACGTGAAAATTCCGGCTACCAATTTCATACTCAAGTCTTCTAGAATTGGACAACTGATTATACTGCTGAAGAATTTGGCTTGGTTGGTAGAAACCTCTTCCGAGGGTTGGATCCGTATCAGAAAATGGTTCATTCAATATCCAAAATGGTAGCTACCAATTCGACTTCAATTGTACCAATTCGACTTCAATTGTACTGATTTGACTTCAATTGTAAGAAATTGACTTCAATTGTACTAATTCGAGTCGTGTAAAAAATGCAGAAAACATTTTTTTTGCCAGTTTAAAACGTATTCTGGAAATACGTTTTACATTTAAATAAGGCTAAAACGTATTGCTAGAATACGTTTTACACTGGGAAAAAAAAATTGACACGTGTGATGAAATCACACGACTAGTGTAATACCACACGACTCGTGTGACTATGTCACACGACTCGTGTCATAATGCCGAAAGGAAAATCATATTTTTGTTTTGTGTCACACGACCCGTGTGATAATAGCACACGACCAGTGTGACCTCACACGACTCGTGTGACTTATGTCACACGACCCGTGTAGAAACAAAAAATCACATTTTTGATCAAATGCACCTGTTTTTGGCGATTATTCGTCCCGATTACATTTTTAAAACAACCAACTAAATCAAATTCACACTAACAAATAAAAGTTACAATAACTATTCCATTTCATTATATAAGTCATTCGAATACAAAAATATTAATCTCAAAAAAACCATATCAGTCAATATACATACAAAACAACTAGTTCCCCCAATCATCACGGAGTCGAGTTCGATCCACATGAGGATGCGAATACGGGCAATGGTCCGCGAAATGTTCGGGATCACCACATCTACTGCATTGATCCCGGCCCCTTCTGCGGCGCGCCCGACGATCCATTTGCAGTTTAAAGCGTCTCGTTTGGGCGCGACCGGGTCCAGGCTTCGAGATGATCCTTTGCCAATGCGGAATCAAATTCCATCCCACCTGCGGCCACGTGTCAGGATTTCCAATTGGAGAAAAATTCCAATTAGAAAATTGATCAACCCAGTTCGTCGTCCAAAAGTGGAATCGTACAACAACTTCGGTTCATCAGCCCGGTAACGACACACGGCTAATGCATGAGTGCATGGTTTCCGATATGTCTGCCACTTCCGACATGTACACTTCTTCTGCTCACAATGAACCTTAAACCTGTTTTCCACAATTATTTATATATAAAAATAAACACACACAAAAAAAATTCATTTCAATGGAAAAAAAAATAATAAAAAATACATACTTGTTTTGCCCCCTTCCACTGGCGCGTAGACCAGTTATGACCGTGTACTGGGATCCGTCAGCGTCCACACATTCCACCTCGTGAGTCACTGTTGTCCTCTCCAACTCCAGATAGGCGGCATAGAGGTGGGTAGGAATTTGACTCTGACAGCTTCTGGACTTTTTTTTGTTCCTGTTGGAACAAATCCAGAGTCTTGTCCATTGTCGCCTGTACTAATGCTCTGCAGGGCAGGAACCTAACACCTTTGAGGACGTTGTTGTAACTCTCTGACATATTGGTTGTCAGAGTGCCCCATCGACGTCTGTTATCTTTGTACAGTGTCCACTTTTCCAAAGGAATTTGGAAAAGGTAACTGCATGCTTCCGGGTGACATTCCTGCAGTTGCTGTCGAGCATGCTCAAATTTGCGACGAGAACACAATGAACCCAACCTCCAGCACAGAACCCGGACTTTCTTACTCTGATACCTTGAAACCACGTTGCTCCGGAGATGTCGAAGGCATATCCGATGAAATGCATGGGGTTCGTGCCAAGCCTCCAGTAAATCAACGACACTCAATATGCTGTTGTCCCTGTCGGAATGAAGACATATTTGCCTGTCGGAGAGGACATGATTGCGCAGATGTGTTAGGAAAAAGGACCAGCTAGCCGTGCTTTCTTCGTCCACAATCGCATACGCGACTGGCAATAGACGCTTATTCGTGGTCTGTGCTATGGCAACAAGCAGCTTCCCCTTGTACGAACCTGCTCAGTTGGACATATGTTTTTTTTATCAGATACTATTGTATGTTAGAAAATAGAAAATACATTTGCAATTAACAAGTACATTCCCCTTATACGAACCTCGCAGGTGCTTGCCGTCGATGCTTATAATCGGCGGGCAAAGATGGAAGGTTCGAATGGCGAGCCCGAATGCCCAGAAGACAAATTTGAATTCTCTGTCTCGAGAACGACGAGCCATTTCCCCATCCTGCCATTCCCACTCAACGACTGTGCCGGGATTCGCCCTTTGAAGGGCAGCAATAAACCTGAAAATTATAAAAAGGTACCAATAAATAAATAAATAAATAAATAAATATAGTTACAAACACATAAATACATTGGTAATTAATTTTTGCTTACTGGGGAGTTGTGCGAAGTTCGATTCCCACGTGCCATACAGACGATCGATGGTTTTTTTTCTCCCGTTCCACGCCTTTTTGTAGCTCACATCGACGCTCCAAGCACTTTTTACGTCGGCCTGGACCATTTCCACACTGTAGGTCACCTGCTTCTGAATCTTAGGCAACAAAAGATTTGAGATCATGGTGGCCGTCACATTCTTGTGGTCATTTCTCTCGACCACCTGCATGCAAGTGTGCATGTCGGTCCATTCGGTTACCTCCCACATGTCGTGCACCCGTAGATTAAGACTCACCCGAGCCTTCCACATACATGGTACAACTTCAGACGATCTGCACACAACTTTGAACGACTTCTTGTTGGAATCTTTTGTCCGGACCGCCCTAAGATTCTCAACATTCCATGTCATAACACCAGTCTGAGCTTCTTCCTTGGTACGAAAAACTGTACCCAAACGGATAGTCTCGACATGCCCATTCCAGAGTGGCAAGGCATACTCGTCCCTGTCTACACACGACGGGTCCCACTCACCCATCTCGCGATATACGTGGAGGCCTTCATTTGGAAAGGGGTGTTCTTCAATGAATTCTTGTTCGCTTTCCTCATTAATTGATCTGTCCGATTCGGTTTCCGAGGTCTCATCAGCTAAATCGTCTTCACCGGGACTGAAATCTTCATCTCCAACAATTTCTTCCTCAATGTCTGGTCCTCTCATGGTAAAGCTCGTCCCTTTCGCTGAAATTACTCGTCCCTTCACCAAAATTACCGGCATGCGTACTCCACGTACCCTCACAACCAAACACTCCCCCGTAACCATATGATGGCGTAGGATCCTCAACATGTGTAACCTATGTGTTTGCTTCCAACACAATATACAAAAACACAAAGGACATAGGATGATAGTAGTAAATCCACGAAAGAGTACTATCATTATTCAGTCTTGCGGGAATAAACGAACCATCCGGTTGTTTGATCATCAAAGTAATATCCGAAATGGTCCAACTATCATGAAATCCACCATTTTCGTAAATCATATCTACCAATTGTTCATATAATATTATTCCACTAATAACAAATGAACAATCCGGACTAGCCAAATAATTCGAAAAATTTCCTAACTCACTCTTAGGAATTTTCCAGTACACATTAACAATGTAGGGACCGATAGAC